TAGAAGGCTCTTTGCGGCTGAAAAATACAAGTTAAACGGAAGCCTCACAGATAATCTTCCGCTTGTTCGATCCTAAATCCAAGGAAACGTGAAGCTGGCTAGGTGTGGATTTCAAGAGTGGGATTTCCCTCTTGGAGGGGGATTCCCAAAGCCAGTCAGATTTTCTGCTCTATCCTTGGCTGATAGTGCACAAGCTAAGCCAGGGCTGGCCCAGGGAGGGTATATCCGAATGGCAGCTTACCAACAAGACCAGGCCAAGAATATAATGTTTTATTGCTGCCCAGATAAGCCTTTGAAGCTACAGTTCTGCACAGCCTCCCTACTAAAAAAAAAAAGGGGGGGTGGCCCTTGGTCTCTTAAGCTTGGGCCGCTTGCAGAGGCTTTCCCCAGGCGAGATCTGGGCACTGCTCACACTGTCTAAAGATGCCAGATCCCCCCTTAAGAGGCTGCTAGTGTGAGGGTGAGTGGATGAGTGTTTAGCAAATTTGGCTAATGGAGAGCCCTCGAAAAATCCAATCAGCTCCCAGTGGCCTAATAAAGCTGCGGCTTTAATGGGGATTGCAAAGAGAAGGGCAAACAGGTTCCAGATGAGAGGCAGGCCTGTGGCAGGGGGAGGAGGAGGAGGAGGAGGAAGAGAAAGAGGAGGAGGCGGCAACGTGGAGGAGCAGGATGAGAAGACATGGAGGAGGAGCAGGAGGAGAAAGAGGAAGAGAAGTGGAGGAGCAGGAGATATGGAGGAGGAGGAGGAGGAGAAAGAGGAGGAGACGAAGAGAGAAAGAGGAGGAGACATGGAGGAGCAGGAGGAGAAAGAGGAGGAGATGTGGAGGAGCAGCAGATATGGAGGAGGAGGAGGAGGAGAAAGAGGAGGAGACGAAGAGAAAGAGGAGGAGACGTGGACGAGCAGGAGGAGATATGGAGGAGCAGGAGGAGAGTGGAGGAGAGAAGGAGGGAGGAGAAAGAGGAGGAGACAAGGAGGAACAGGAGGAGATATGGAGGAGAAAGAGGAGACAAAGAGAAAGAGAAGGAGACGTGGAGGAGAGGAGAAGATATGGAGGAGCAGGAGGAGATACGGAGGAGGAGAGGAAGAGATATGGAGGAGAAGCAGGAGGAGAAAGAAGAGGAGACAAGGAGAAGAGGAGGAGACATGGAGAAGATATGGAGGAGGAGCAGGAGGAGAAAAGAGGAGGAGACGTGGAGGAGCAGGAGGAGATATGGAGGAGGAGCAGGAGGAGATATGGAGGAGAAAGAAGAGATGAGGAGAAAGAGGAAGAGACGTGGAGGAGACAAAGAGAAGAAAAAGAGGGGGAGGGGGAGAGGAAGAAGAGGGGGAGGAAGACAGAAGGAGGAAGAGGAGGAGGAGGAGGAGGGTACTGGCATCAGCAGATCTTGCCATCTTTACCAAGCAGTGCAGAAAAAAATGCCAGGTGTTAGGAGCCACATACAGCAGAGCCAAAGAGCCAGGCAGGATTTGAGGAAGAGAGGTTGCTGGCAAGACCCCCCACTTCTCCTCCAAATGGGAATCCCCTCGCTCGAATCCCCTCCAAATGACAACACAGGATTAAAAAGAAAAGTGAGCCCTGTGGTTTTTGAACTGGGTGGGATGCCTAATAACAGGAAAAGAAACTCGGCGAGGAAGAGAATTTAGATCTGAAAATCGAAAGCAGAACCGGAAAGAAAGAAAAGCGGGACACGGAGGCAGAGGCGCAACGCTGCTGCGAGGTTTACTCGTACGATCTTTCGGGGAGCGATGCCATCTTCGGAAGCGTGTACCTGAGAACTGTATCTGAGAACAAGGGACGCGGTGGCTGAGTGGCTAAGACGCCGAGCTTGTCGATCGAAAGGTCGGCAGTTCAGCGGTTCGAGTCCCTAGTGCCGCGGAACGGGGTGAGCTCCCGTTATTTATCCCAGCTTCTGCCAACCTAGCAGTTCGAAAGCACGTAAAAAAAAGAAATGCAAGTAGAAAAATAGGGACCACCTTTAAGTGGGAAGGTAACAGCGTTCTGTGCACCTTTGGCGTTGAGTCATGCCGGCCACATGACCACGGAGACGTCTTCGGACAGCGCTGGCTCTCCGGCTGAGAAACGGAGATGAGCACCGCCCCCTAGAGTTGGGAACGACTAGCGCACATCTGCGAGGAGAACCTTTACCTAAGAACTAAGATAGCTAAGCTACAAATCAAGCCTTACAAAGGAGTGGTTGAAAGAGTAAAGTAGGTTTAATTTGGGGAAGAAAATATTCGTATTTTTAAGAGAAAAGCCAGTCGCCTTCGGTTTCTCTTCCGTCAAAGCTTAGCAGTGCTGCCCTATCGGATTGTTCCTGATGTACTAAGCCATCGCTGATCTAATCGTGGCTTGCCTGAATAACACTGCGGTTGGCTGGATTTGCTCACCGGGCCAATTCACACAACAGCTTAACGGTTAAAATCTGGCGATGATCATGAACTGAGCTCTCTAACTTTTAAGGACTGGGCCTGCTTCTTTCCTGCTTTCTCCGCTTCTGCTGATGTGCCTTTCAGGCCAGAAAGGTAAGGACAGCCGTACCTTGAGGTGCTTTATTCAAGAGGCAACTGGACTTCCTTGTTGCTTTGTTTTTTATTTTGAAGACATTTCGCTTCTCATCCAAGAAGCTTCTTCAGCTCTGATTGGATGGCAGCGGGGAACAGGAGGATTTATATTCCTCGCAGACCTAAATCTTGCATATCCATTCTTCCGTTCCCCACCATCATCCAAGTCAGAGCAGAAGAAGCTTCTTGGATGAGAAGGGAAACGTCTTCAAAAGGAAAAAAACAACAACAAGGAGCTGCTGATCCAGTTCTACGGAGGAATGATTGAGTCTGTCATCTGCACCCCATAACTGTTGGGTTTGGTTCTGCAACCCAACAAGACAGACAGAGACTTCGGAGGATCATTAGAACTGCAGAAAAAACAATGGCTACCACCTGCCTTCCATGGAGATCCTGTATAGTGCACCAGTCAAAAAGAGGGCTGGGAAAATATCTACAGACCCCTCACATCCTGGACATAAACTGTTTCAACTCCTGTCCTCAAAACGATGCTATAGAGCACTGCACACCAGAACAACTAGACACAAAGACAGGTTTTTCCCCGAACGCCATCACTCTGCTCAACAAATAATTCCCTCAACACTGTCAAACTATCTACTAAGTCTGCACTACTATTCATCTTCTCATCGTTCCCATCACCCATCTCCTCCCAGTTATGACTGTATGACTGTAACCTTGTTGCTAGTATCCTTAACGATTTATATTGATTGTTTCCTGATATGATTCGATTGCTTATTTGTTCCCTATGACTATCATTAAGTGTTGTACTTTATGATTCTTGACGAACGTATCTTGTCTTTTATGTACACCGAGAGCGTATGCACCAAGACAAATTCCTTGTGTGTCCAATCACACTTGGCCAATAAAGAATTCTATTCTATTCTATTCTATTCTATTCTATTCTATTCTATTCTATTCTATTCTATTCTATTCTATTCTATTCTATTCTATTCCATTCCATTCCATTCCATTCCATTCCATTCCATATGTTCTGTTCTATTCTGTTCTATTCTCTATTCTCCATTCCATTCCATTCCATTCCATTCCATTCCATTCCATATATTTGTTCTGTTCTGTTCCGTTCCGTTCCGTTCGTTCCATTCCATATATTCTATTCTATTCTATTCTATTCTATTCTATTCTATTCTATTCTATTCTATTCTATTCTATTCCATATTTTCTATTCCATTCCATTCCATTCTATTCCATATGTTCTGTTCTGTTCTCTATTCCATTCCATTCCATTCCATTTCATTCCATTCCATATATTCTATTATATTCTATTCTATTCTATTCTATTCTATTCTATTCTATTCTATTCTATTCTATTCTATTCTATTCTATTCTATTCCATTCCATTCCATTCCATTCTATTCCATATGTTCTGTTCTGTTCTCTATTCCATTCCATTCCATTCCATTCCATTCCATTCCATTCCATTCCATTCCATTCCATTCCATTCCATTCTATTCTATTCTATTCTATTCTATTCTATTCCATTCCATTCCATTCCATTCTATTCGCCAGTTGCCTCCTGAAAAAGCACCTTTGGGACAACCATGACCCGGAGGACAGAGAATCTCTGCAGATTTACGGTACCTTCCTCGCGTTTCTGAAAGCTGGGGAGAGAAGATTTTGCAAATGCATTCCGTAAACAAACACCTTATCGTACACTTAACTCCCACGCCTCTTTTTTTAACACCGTTCCACAGCCGAGAATTGACTTCACGACACTCCTCGTCGCTTCGCTTCGAGTGGGAAGGCGGCATTTGCCTGCCGAAGACCCTCCACCATCCCTCGTCCTGCCTTATATAGCTGCTTTTTCGTGGGAAAGCAGACACCAGGCAGGGGAGGCCCGAGAATAAGGAAGGGACCCAATTCTAAACCAACCCCTTCCCCTTTTAACTTTGATAACGACAGGTTTCATCGCTCGGTCTGTTCTGCGGCACCGACAGGAATGTCCTGGAAAATTGAAAAATGCCATTTTTAAAAGCCGGTATCGGGGTTTGCAATTCCTTCTGGAAAGAAGCTTTTCTATACCCAAGTTATCACGCTTGCTGTTCATCGCTAAGACTCCCACGCACCTGCTCCAAGGTTACAACGGCGAGGATCTTCACTACGCTGGGCTCTATTGAAGAGATGACAACGCTGGCTCTGCTTGCACACACACACACACACATATCCCTTTTACTCCCTCCGTGCAAGCGCTTGAGACAGAATTGGGGGGGCGCCAAGGCGGCTGAGGTGAGCGATGGGAACTGATTTCCGGCCAGCGGAAGACAAGAGGAACAAACCTCTGGATAAAGCAGGAACAGGCTTTGGCTTGGCTGCAGGGGTCCTTCGTGGAAGCCATGTTATTTTAACGGATTAACGGAGCGGGAAGGGACCTTGGAGGTCATCTAGTCCAACCCCCCCCCACCCAAGCAGGAGAGCCTACCTACACCGTTTCTGACAGGTGGCAGTCCAGTCTCTTCTTGGAAGCCTCCAGCGATGAAGCTCCCACAACTGTCAGGAAATTCCTCCTTATTTCTAGGGTGAATTATCTGTGAGGCTGAATCTGTCCTGCCTTGTTTCCTCTGCGGAGTTTGGTCCAAATGAAAAATTAAGGAAGGGAAGACTGGCAGAGATTTTCCACTCCTCTCCTCTCCCTTTCCCTTCACGTTCCCCTTTTCCCTTCCTTTCCCTTTCCTCCTCTCTCTCCTCTCTCTCTCTCTCCTCTCCTCTCCTCTCTCTCCTCCTCTCCCCCCTCCCCCCTCCCTTCCCTTCCTTCCTTCCTTTCCTTTCCCTCCCTTCCTTTCCTTTCCTTTCCTTTTCCTTCCTTCCTTTCCTTCCCTCTTCTCTCCCACTTTCCTTCACTTTCCTTTCCTTCCTCTCCTCTCCCACTTTCCTTCACTTTCCTTTCCTCCTTCTCCTCTCCTCCTCCTCTCCTTCTCCTCTCCTTTCCCTTCCCTTCCTTCCTTCCCTTCCCTTCCCTTCCTTTCCTCTCCTCTCCTCTCCTCTCCTCTCTCTCCCACTTTCCTTCACTTTCCTTTCCTTTTCCTCTCTTCCTGTCCCCTCCCCTTTTCCCTTCCCCCCTTCCTTCCCTCCCTTCCCCTCCCCTCTCCTCTCCTCTCCCTCTTTCTTTCCCTTCCTTCCTTCCCTTTCCTTTCCTTCCCTTCCCTTCCCTCCCCTCTCCTCTCCTCTCCCTCCCTCCCCTCCCCTTTCCCTTCACTTTCTTTTCTTTCCTTCCCTCCCCTCCCTCTCCCCTCTCCTCTCCCCTCCCTCCCCTCCCCTTTCCTTCACTTTCCTTTTCTTTCCCAAATCCCAATTCTGGGATTCTAAAACACATTTCCTACCAGAAGGACCACCATTTGGTACAGTCCACCCCCCAAGTCAGAGTCTACAAGATTTCCCATGACTTCCTCCCAGCCACAACTGAAAGCCCAGGACGCAGCCTTCACACCAGAGCCTTTTCCTCTCCCTCTGCTTCTTCAGCAGCCAAACTTAGTGCCCTGTGTTACCGCAATCACCAGCAGCTACACAGGTCGGAGTCTCCTCCCTCCCTCCTCCCTCTCTTTCTCTGTCTCTGTCTCTCTCTCTCCCTCCTTCTCTCCCTCCCTCCCTCCCTCTCTCTCTCTGTCTGTCTCTCTGTCTGTCTCTGTCTCTGTCTCTCCCTCCTTCTCTCCCTCCTCTCTCTCTCTCTCCCTCCTTCTCTCCCTCCCTCCCTCTCTCTCTCTCCCTCCTTCTCTCCCTCCTCTCTCTCTCCCTCCTTCTCTCCCTCCCTCCCTCTCTCTCTCCCTCCCTCCCTCTCTCTCTCTCTCTGTCTGTCTCTCTGTCTCTGTCTCTGTCTCTCTCTCTCCCTCCTTCTCTCCCTCCCTCCCTCTCTCTCTCTCCCTCCTTTTCTCCCTCCCTCCCTCTCTCTCTCCCACACAAACACACTCTCTCACACTCTCTCTCTCACACACACACTCATTCTCTCTCTCTCTCTCTCTCTCACACACACACACACTCTCATTCTCTCTCTCTCACACACACACTCCCTCCTTCTCTCCCTCCCTCTCTCTCACACACACACTCTCACACACACTCTCTCACACACACACACTCTCTCTCTCTCACACACACTCATTCTCTCTCTCTCTCCACACACACACACTCATTCTCTCTCTCACACACACACACTCTCTCTCTCTGTCTCTTTCTGTCGCTCTGTTTCTGTGTCTCTCCCTCCCTCTCTCTCTCACACACACACTCTCTCACTCTCTCTCTCTCTTTCTCTCTCACGCACACCCTCATACTCTCTCTCTCACACACTCTCTCTGTGTCTCTGTCTCTCTCCCACTCTCTCTCTCTCTCTCTCTCTCTCTCTCTCTCACGCACACACACACAGAGTAATGCCAAGATTTCACTGGACAACAGCGAAATTCTAAAGCCCTAAAACAGGTTCTTGAGCTGTGCACAAGGACAAGCCATTCTGTTCCAACTTTTCTCTGCTTAGCTAGTTCCTTCTAGTAGGGGTCCTATCCAACTTCTGCCCTAAGATCTTCAGCTAGAGACCCAAGGACCTTGACCAACCCATTTTGGGGATCCCCCCCCAACAGTCTAAATGCACCTGCCTGGCTGCCTGCTGGATGGACTGCCCGGATGAAGCCGATGCAAGCAGGGGAAGTCTGAATTACGGAGGAAGCTGAACGAAGAGGTTCCAACCTCACCTCACTTGGCTCGGCTCCCATCCCAGTTACCTGACGCAGGGACTTTGCATTGGGATGCAGGCAACCCTAATACATTAAGAAGAGACCGGACGGCCACTTCTCTGAAATGGTCCAGGGTCTCCTGCTTGAGCAGTGGGCTGGACTAGATGACCTCCCAGGTTCCCTTCCAGCTCTGTTCTGATTGAACAAGTTAGGAGATTCCCCCTTTCCCTGAAGCATTTCAGGGTGCGTTTTTGAATTGAGGGGTGCAAACAGGGGCTCAAGGGTGGCTCTTTAAGGTGATGGCAGCCCCTTCCTTCGGGATCTCTTCCAAGAGCTTTGGTGGTGCAGCGGACTAAAGTGCTGTTAAGTGCTAGCACTTAGCTGCCAGCTGCCTGCAATTAGTGCAAGTTCAAATCTCACCAGGCTCAAGGTTGACTCAGCCTTCCATCCTTTCGAGGTAGGTAAATTGAGGACCCAGATCGTGGGGCAATAAGCCAGCTTTGTATAGAACAACATCGCTTGGGGGGCGGGCAAAAGCCCTAATAAGCATTGTAAGCTGCCCTGAGTCTACGGAGAAGGGTGGCATTTAAATTGGACTAATAAATAAATTGGACTAATAAATAAATTGGACTAATAAATAAATCATTTCTCCCTATTCCTCTTCCTTCCTTCCCTCCCACCACCCACCCCCCTTGGAAAAATACACAGACTTCGGAGTCCGACCACGAGGCCTGTTTGAATGGGAACTCTGCTGAAGCCGGAAAGGGGGGAAACAGCCGGGCATCTCCTTAAGACTGGCAACCCTCACCTTCTCAGCGAAGACCCCAATAATCCTGCTGAGGCACTCTCTCTCTCTCTCTCTCTCTCTCTCTCGCTCTCTCTGTCTGTCTGTCTCTTTCTCTCTCTCTTTCTCTACCTCTCTTTCTTTCTCTCTTTCTCTTTCTTTCTCTTTCTCTCTCTCTCTCTTTCTCTTTCTTTCTCTCTCTCTTTCTCTCTCTCTCTCTCTCTCTCTCTCTCTCTCTCTTTCTCTGTGTGTTACACACACAGTAACAGTAACCAGAGTTCGAAGGGACCTTGGAGGTCATAGAGTCCAACCCCCTTCCTCACGCCTTTCTGACTGATATATACACACACACCACTTTGAGAAATTCAGGAATTAACCACAAAGGTGCCAAGTTGGAATTCTTTATGCCCACTCCCCACCCCAACTCACACAACTCTTTTGAGAGCGCTTCCTTCTCTCTAGCTAGCCCAACCAAAGGAAGCAGCAACCTCTAGTCTCACCAAAACCGAGACACAACCCCCCCTCCCCAATTCCAGTAGGGCTCTCTCTCTCTCTCTAGACCACGGAGTCTCCCCTCCCTCCCTCCCAAAAGACCCCGATGAACCCAGGGAAACCCCCCCCCCCCAATTTCTGGCTTCTCACCAGTAACCATCAAACTCTCCAAATCAACATTCACCCCACTGGGGCACCCCCCTGCCCCCATCTGCCAAGCACGGATCTCCCCCTCCTCTAAGGCAGCCCCTTTGCCAACGTGCGCCATGCTTGGCAGTTGGCACCCAATAAAAGGGACCCGCCACCATCTGCCCAAAGAGCAGCTCAGCGGGCAAAAGACCCCCCCCCAGTTAAAGAGCTGCTACCTCTCCGGGAGAAACTCGGTCGGAGGAAGAAGGCAAGCTGCTCCTCTCCAGGACAGGTTGCCGGCGATCTTTTCCCCAGCACCTCGGAGACACCGCCAAAGCACCGGACAGCGCTTTGCCAAAACCGAGTCCCCATCTGCGCTTCCGCGGCTTTTTATACTCTGCCTGGGCAGCCTCGGGCTGGCAAAAGCCGGGCCTCTACCATCACTCCGAGGAGGGGTGGGGGGGGCGGCATAAGGAAAAGCAGCAGCAGCAATTTTGGGGTTTGTCCCCCCCCCATCGTCCTCCTTTCCCCCCCTCTCGCTTCTCCCTACCTTGGACAGCGCCAGCTGAACAGCCTGGCACCCGTTTCGGCAATGTATGCAGGCTTCCTTCTTCTCCCTCGGCAGGGAGGCAGGATGGTACAATCCAGTGCTGTAAAGTATTGGGGTGGGGGAGAGAGAGAGAGAGAAGAGGGGAGGACGAGAACCACGCCGTGGAAAAGGGGGGGGGCGGGAGGGAAAGCTGGCAAAGGAGTTTTTTTTTTATTATTATTTAAAGGAGGGGGAGAAGAGCAGCGAGACGAAACGGGCTCGCCTTTTAATTCTGCATTTGTGGAGCGGGCTTCGCAAACGTGGCTTGTTGGAAGTCATCTATAGGGTTGTCATTAATGTTTTTAATGTTTAAATGTTTTTTAAAATGATTTTAAATGCATTGTGAGCCGCCCTGAGTCTTCAGAGAGGGGCAGCATACAAATTGAATTAATAATAATAATAATAATATAATAATAATAATAATAATAATAATAATAATAATAATAATAATATAATAATAATAATAATAATAATAATAATAATAATAATAATAAAAAACAAAAAAAACAACCACCTTACTCGGAACAGCTTACATCCTCCGACGATACCTTAACAGTTCCTAGGTCCTTGGTTAGGACTTGAGCTGCTGAGCTATTAACCAGCCTCAAAGGCTGTGAATCTCACTAAAGATTAACCAATAATAATAATAATAATAATAATAATAATAATAATAATAATAATAATAATAAACAACCACCTTACTCGGAACAGCTTACATCCTCCGACGATACCTTAACAGTTCCTAGGTCCTTGGTTAGGACTCGAGCTGCTGAGCTATTAACCAGCCTCAAAAGCTGTGAATCTCACTAAAGATTAACCAATAATAATAATAATAATAATAATAGTAATGATGATGATGATGATGATGATGATGATGATGATGATGTCTGACCCTATTGATGAATATTGTGTACAACAG